CTACATTAACGATAAAATATTTGCGCAGCCCTCTACTATTAAAAAACGTCTAAACTTTAACTAAAGTGAATAGACTACTCTTGTCACCGATCCACGGAAGCTCGTGTGTTTTTTTACAGTGCTTCCGCATTTCGTCGCTGCTTACAGTAATGTAACTGCATGCTGTACACCTAAGACCATCTAACGGCGCCCCTAGCTCTTGTATTGCTTTCGCTGGCTGCCTGGGAAGTTGAATTGTGCTCGGCTCTGCTGTGGAAAATTGATTGAAATATTGAACAACCTCTTGTCGCTGTTGTACGGGCGTCTTGTGCTGTTCTTGTAGATGCCTGTTAAGATTCAAGACGCCTGTGCAGTGCTGCCTGCACACAAGCACTTTATATTGCCTAAGAAAGCAAAATACATCGTCGCAATTCTCCTTCGTAACGATCTTTGGCTAGTGCTGCACGTCTGTGGCGCGCGCGTTGCTGCTGTCGTGCTGCTCGATGGGCGCTCAACTGTTCCATATGGGGTTCTCCATTGTCGCGCAACCCTAAGAACGCAACCCTAATAACAACAAACTCTAGCTGCACATAGTAAAACTCTAGTAGCGGGTTGTGCATGCGCTTTTAAGTTAACTTTGTATGATATAGTTTTTAATAACGATAAAAAAATGTTGTAGGGCAGCTGTGTTGGGGTACGCGGGGCATCCCTTAAATATTCGCCCGATTTGGTTTTCTACCCTAACGCTAAGCGGGTTCTAGCGCGGGGAAGGGCTGTCCCGTCGTATCATATTGGTTAGGTATTGCTTCTTTAGCTTTTCTACTAATCCTACTACTGCCTTTTCCTCTTCCTCTACATTATACTCGTGCACTGCGTACTAGATATTCTTGCGCGTTGTCTGCCCCCGAAACCAGTAGCACTTGCTCTTCTCTAGCAGCCCCATCACATCCAAAAACTGCTTCTCCTCCTTCGGCCGAAGCGTCGCCGTTAAATAAACCATCTGCGTCTCTACCCAGAGCAATTGTCGCAGTCCCAGCAGCCGGCTGCGGAACCCCTTGAGCGAGTCTAGTATCGAGTGACATTCGTTAATCACAATCCGATCTAGCCGCCCTATCGACCGCTCCCGATTGATGTAATGCCTAAACGCCTCTCCCACCGCTGCTTCCGGCGTCACAAACATAATCTGCACGCTCCTGTACGGACGCCGGCTATCCCACTCCCCACTAACAATCCCCAGCTCGTCACACCGTGCCTTCATGTCAAACCGCAGTGCCACTAGCAGCACCACCACCACAGTAACCCTAGTTGACACCAACGCTAGCAGCATAAACAACACGCTCTTGCTAGCCCTAGTCCCTATAATTACTACAACGGGACTCTTATACTGCATAATCGCCTGCATCGCTGGCCGCTGCACACTGCGAAACTGCGCCTTGCATCCTAGCAGCCGCTGCAGCTCACCATCCACATCCACCAGCCGCATCATCTTCCACCGCCGGTACTCCTCCTCCAGCGCCTCTCTGCGCGCCTTGACAGCCAGCGGGCTCCGTTGCAGCAGCTTTGTCTTCTTTTCCTGCGCAGACAGGAGCTCTAAAAACCTATGCTACTTGCTGCTCGCAACCTAGAACATGAACCGCTTAGATTCTACACTAAACACCCCCTTATACAGTAACCGCCCATAAATCGCCCCAGCCACTCTACTGCCATGCCTAGTCTGTAAATCAAACCCCTCGTCTTCCTCAGACAACCTATCGTCCTCGTCAGCATTCAAGTACGCCTTACGTGCCTTAGGGTTCTAAATATACCGCCGCCAAATCGCCTTAGATGCATGCCGCCACCTAATCACATTCAGCTTAACGCCCATGTACTGCAGCGACGCCTTTTGCATCCTCAGCTTAAGTCGGTTAGAATTCTACTGCTCTACCGTCGGCGGCTTGTCAGCCCGTACCCGGCTCTCCTCTCTCTCTTCCCTCTCCTCCTCCTCTTCCTGTCGCTCCTCTTCTCCCTCCTCTCCGCGCTCTCCTTCATTCTCCTCGTCTGACGTCTCCCGCCGCACCACAGTCCTCACCCAACTCGCTTTTCCTACTCTTCTTATGCCCTGCGGGTCGGCACTACGCTTTCGCCCGCGTGTGGGTTCTTGCCACCGCCGCTCAGGCTGTGGCTCCCACATATACCCACTCTCCTCCTCCGCCTCCCCCCACGCTGCCACCACTAACCGCTGCCAAAATGGACGGCAAAACCACAAGTAAAATACGACGAGCTCCCCTACCTCGCGCGGGACATAGCAGTGGATCACTTTGCTCTGTCTAGTTTGCGTAATATTTTTGTAGTACGTTGTTAGAAAGACCACACTACCATCTTTAATAAAAATCCCGCGACTGTGCCCCTGCCTATTATTTTCAAAACAGATTGTTAGTAACTCACTACCACGCGGCGGCGCACCTCCTGTTATGTGCACAAGTACGGCAAGTGCGTGGCGGGCTTGTTGCATCGCTTTGTAGTATGCCCAGATGCGCTCCTTCACCCACACCAGCCCACCACCCCCCGCCATAGCCACACGCGACGCCACAGCATCAGCAAACTTATGTCGCAGTCTCTTCTCTTGCTAAACACGCCCTGCTAGCCAGCGCTTGGGGTCCTGTACACTAGTAGCCCCGCAGTTGCGCCCATCTTCCATAAAACTCCACCCAGCCTGCTGCGCAGCCGCATTGTCCACCAGCTTGTCCCAGTAAATCGCGGGACACGGCGTCGTCTTAGGCACCACCTCGCCCTCACTATCCAGCTAAAGCAGTAGTAGTTGTTTCAGCATGTCCTGTCGCGTGCTGGCAATTATGCCGTGCACCATCGTCCGTAGCTGTGCCATGCTAAACTGGATCTGCCTATACAACAACGTGTCGCCTACCTAGTCTATCACGCCCTCCGCATTGGTGTTAAACTGGGCTGTGAAGCCAAATGCTCGCAGCCGCAAGACAGAATCCATGGGCGTCGGCTGCCCGTTGAACTCGGCTAGCACCATGAACCTGTAGCCCATGTCCTGCACCAGCTCGAGATGCGTCGGTGCGATCCTGCTAGCTGCCTCTTCACTGTATCCACCAGCCACCAGCTTATCCACCTTTGCTGTCCGCTCCTTGTGTGCCTAGTACAATACAAGCATGCGCGATATAGCGACAACAGCAGACTGCTTAGGCGTATACGTGAGCGCATCTAGCCATCCCCTGTCTGCGCTAACTCCTAGCACTGCCATGCCACTTATAAAGCCACTCTTAAACTTAGTGCTAGGTAGCTTATAATCAAGCAGCGCAAGCATGAATGCAAGCACTTGGTCCTGCAACGCCTCGGCGTCTTCTGCATCCAACAGCTCGTCCTCGCTGTCACTGTCTCCATAGCTGCCCCCTAGCTCCATGCTCCGCGCTGCGCTGGCTGCCTCCTCTTCTAGGTTGTACCCAGTCAAACCCTTCAACTCCTCCAAGCATACCTTCTGCTCGCTCGTCAAGCGGTATGGTAGACGTCTGCCCTGCACTTCATCACTGGAACCTGGTTGGACTACGGGCAGCTCGTACGTGCGCCAGATATATGCAATAATCTAGAGCCACACGCTGCGGTATTTCTTCATCGTTGGCTCCATCTGGCTCGCGTTGAACGGCTTTTTATTCGTCTTTGTCCTATACTCGCGCTAGTTAATGTGCATAATAGCGGGCATGCCTACTACGCTTGAGTAAGACGCCTGCTGCGCCCTCCAAATCACCATCTCGGCTGCCCAGCACACGTCCCGCAGTGCCCGCTCCTAGTAGCTAGCTGTCAGTGCCATGTCTAGCAGCCACAGCCGGTCTAGCCCCTTCAAGTGCCGTTCCCAGCCGGCTCGGTTCAGCCATTTCTAGAATCCCCACCAGCTGCCGTCTTCTTCAATAACATGGCTTGCCTTTCTGCTCTCTACTACCTAGTCGATCTGTGTGATGGCAGCAGCCAGTGCCTTCTTCAGCCAGGTGTCCTCGTCGCCGTAGTCGGGTTCAGTGGGTGCAGCGCCCTAGACTTCAAACAGCCGGCCCAGCGTGCTGGAGTTCTAGAACTTCTGGCACATGACAGTAGCCCATTTCGCCTGCGTACTAGATGGTCGTCCTGGCGTCTTCTGGCGTGGGTGGATCCAGTTATGCTGCTTTGAACCATGCTCCTGCATACGCTTCTCACTGCGATTAATATACCCACACTCACAGCACTTCAAGCCGTCCATGTACACGGGCAGATGGGGTAGCGGCGCAGCATCTGGGCGTGGAAACATGACCTCGTCTGCACTGTCAGCCCAGTTGCGCAGCCATGGCTCCTAGCTGGTGGCCTATACTATGCTGCGCCGTGTGTGGGAAGCCAGCTCCTGGTGTTTGGTGTCTAAGTGGGTGCGCAGCTGTGACTTAACAACGCCCTGCCTATGGCTCCTGCATATCGCTATGCAATGTGTGGGCAAATATACAAAAATCTCTCAAAATAGATCTATTGTAGTAAGTTATTACAGTATTAGTAATGCTATTCTTAGTGTAAACTGTGCTATTACTGCTATGTAGTAGTGAATGAATTACTATCTATAACGTATGTGGCAAGCGAGCGCCGCACCCCACCAAACCTGCGCACCTCTCCTATCTCAACGAACAATGGCTCAACGTAGCGCTACTTAATTAGCTTTAAATGAAGCAGATATTTAGCTTGCTATTTCTTCTATTAATCTCTATTAAACATAAAGTAATTGTCGCGCTGCTGCTATCTACAACGTGTCTAAACGAACAATCCGCCGCCAACGCGCTAGTATACCTGCTCAACGCGATTGCCAGCCTAACTCAAAGAAGCTTACTAAGCTAGAAGAGGAGGTGATAGTTAATTATATACTTGATCTAGATCTACGTGGATTTGCGCCCACGTATGCTGCTGTGCGCGATATGGCTGATAAGCTGCTGGCTGCGCGCGGCGCTGGCCAGGTTGGGCAGAAGTGGCCAGCCAACTTTGTCAAGCGTATTATTATTATTATTATTATTCCATTAGAGTCTATCTGCAGTCAGTGACTATGTAAGACTTTGGCCAGAGGCCGTTCTAGGTACAATTTGTTTAAAAGTGAGAGTGTTCTCTGTATAGTACTGCTATGTGCTGCGGTTTAGTCGCTTCTAGCTGCGCTTAAAGCAGACTCCAGTTGCTGAAGAGCAGTTTAGTAAAACAGGAAGAGTATGTTAGACAGCAGGGCTGTCTTCCAGCGAGCTCTTT